GAGACTGTTAGTCTAATGGTTTAAAAAAGCTCCTGGAGATGCTAATGGAATCAAAAAACTATTTAGAAATCATTTGCGAATAGCTGAGACAGAGGGAGACTTCTCTGAAGATGTGCGTTTAAATAGAAATTTAAAAAAATACTTTTCTTTGACCACCTCCACATAATGAGGAAACTAGTTCATTGCCTTAACAGGGAAAATTATACTTGGTTTTTATTCAAGCTATGTATTATATTATGAGTAATAGGATAAGTAGAGTCTGCATTGCTAGAGAAGTTACCTTCCTGCCTCCTCCATGTAGCATGCTCCCAGATTCCATAGCATTTGTGTAAGTAACAATGCCCCAGTAACGAATATTGCCACATAAAACTATTCACAGGAAATCTTCTGTAACCCAAGCTATGTCATTGCTGGTTGCCATTTCGTGATTGTAGATTACTGGTGTTTTTCTTCACTTTGTTTTGTGCACATTGTTGGTTACTTTACTGACTGTTCATCGATACAGTTTTTACCTCCACTGACAACCTTTCCCTCCGTATGGGCCAACTGAAGATTATATTTTGGGTATCAGCTTTGTAGTTGTTAGTTATAATTTTATATTATAGATGAACACTTGGAAGTGAAAATACGACATACGTATTTGAGTGTATTTATCTTCTGAGAGATTTTTCTTTAAAATCACTTTTTTTTAAAGGAAAAAATGTATAACCCTTCAAGAAAGTAATGGATAGTTCTTCCCATCAAGCTGCTGATTTGGGATTTTGAAGGAAATCTCTACATAGTGTGAAATATTTTATGTAATGTTTCTGTTTGGGAAATAGGAGGTGTGATCTTTTTCTGTTATCTCCCTCCCCTTCCCCACTAAAATATATGAGCCTAGTTATATTGATTATGACCTTCTCTCACATTTGGAAATGTTCTGTGGGGTGGTAGGAGCACATCCTTTGAGCCTGATGGACCTGGATTTGAAACCCCATCTCTGCTCTATCAGCCTTGGCAAGTGTTTTAGCTACCATGATGTTTATTTTCCTCTTCTTTAAAGTGGTAGTTATATCTATTTCCTAAGATGGTTTGAGAATGTAACAAGGACACCACAGTGTCTGATACATCATAGATTAATTCTTGCCTCTCTCCCATATCCACTAACAGTTACATGACTAACCTAGCTGATTGAAAACTGTTTTCAGATATGCCTGCTCAAAGAGTTATTGGGAAGCAAAACAACACAGCCTGTCAGGAAGCAACCTGAACATTTTATGTATAGTTGTTTTTTGTGGTGCATTCACTCATTCAGTCAAGAAAAATGTCCAGCCTGGCTTAACAAACTAGATTCACTTTGGTACAGGCAAGCACAAGAATGAATAATTTTAGACTAGAATAAAAAAGAAATTGAACAACTTGGTAAAAGTAAATGATTTGAGCAATAGTTTCCAAAACAGTGTGCATCAGAATCACTTGAGGAATGTGTTAACAATGCATATTCTGGGCTCCATCTTAAGAGAATTCTGATTCAGTGAACCTAGTGTGGAACCAAGGGATTTGGGGTCATTTCAATCATAGTAACTTTGAGGATATGGTAAGTGGCAAAAGTTTAAACCAATAAATAGAAAAAAAATGACTGTCAACTTTAGGCATTCATGCCATCTTAATACTATTTTCTCATTAATTCAGATAAATTCTGTCAGTAAAGCTAATTGAAATTGATCCACTCTGTAGTCTATAGACCTTCTCAAACCATATCCAGCCCTTCATTTTACATAATCTGAAGCAAAGACTGCATCACAGAACCCTGAAGGCCACACAGGACAAGTGTGCTGCATATATATCACAAGATACATGGAAATCGATTTACAAAAGAGTTAAATTAACAGGTGATATTTCAGATTAGGGGAAAAAAAAGGATTTACGGCAAGGATGCTTTATCACAAGGTCCCTTGATGCATTTGAAATAGTATTTGATTTATACACCACAAATTTTCACTCAGCTTTTCAGGAAGACAAATATCATATGAAACAAAATCTCCTATTGTTTTGGAGAGAAGAGGAAGATACTTCTGAGTTCTCTAAGTTGTAGACTCTGCTGTTTCAAGGTCACTGTTCTTGACAGAAAGGTAAATTATCAACTGTGGACTTTTTTTATAAAACATGAATTTTACCCTCCATTAAAATTTTTTCAGTATAATCTGACTCTTGTCTTAAAATAAAATAATAACGCAGACCATGAGAGGCTTTTAAAAATAACCCATCACAACTCAGGTGTTTGTTTTTAATTTTAAAATGTCTCTTCCCCATTATAGTTAGTGGTAAAGTGAAGCACAGTTGCTGATTGTCCATCTGCTGTACTCTGTGGAGATGTCAGAGTCCTGAAAGCATTGATCTTGGGTCCCTTGCCCTTGGCAGCTCTCTGGTCAGGCCCAGCTGTGGTGAATTGAGAAAGTAATGGAAGCAGTTGGAAGCTCTTACTGCAGGACCTCCTCACATGGATTCTTACTGCATAACCAACCCATCTGGACCTTTAGATTTTTTATGTGTTATGAGGCTGTTATACTATCACACAGCATGATAAACTATTAAGAGCTATGCCAATGTAAAATGTTATTATATCTACTCTAGAGATTTCTCACCTACTCTGAGACCCTACTGCTTAGGCCGTTTATCTGCCAGCCCTATTACCTCTCCTTTCACGTGCCTGCCATCTGGCTGTTACAGCACATCTGCTTTGCTTTCTTCCAGTTTACCAGTTGTTCTTATTAAATACCTATTTTCATGCTTTCAGTTTCTTCACTAATTTTGAATGTTTAGTTTGAGAGTTAATGTCTGTCTTCTAATGAGGAGTCATCAAAAACAACCGTATTTTTATTCCCATACAATGTGATTTTATTTTGGAAAATATTTTTGCAAAAAGATTTTGCTCTTTCTAAGAAACAGTCTGTGGAATCAGATAGATCTGAGTTCAAATCAGGATTAAGTTGTTTATCTCATGTGTTAAATGTGGACAAGTTTTCTTTCCTTCTAAAAAGTATCATTTATATTAAAAATCTGTATAATTTTATGGTTTTCTAGAACATTTAGGAGGGAGTAGGGATACAGAATTGATGAAAATAAGCTTATCAGTAAAATATATTATTTGAACATGAGCATATATTTTAGCGTCTATACACCAGTTTGTGTAAATTACATTTCATTTCTCTCAGGAGAATAGAGAAAATTCTTCTCTATTAAAGGCAGGTATGAAACTTTATGGTTTAAGAAATCTGCTTGCCTAAACAAAAAAGGGAAAAAAGAAAAAAAATTTATAAAGTATTTTCAATCAGCAGTAAATTGAACATGTGTTGAACATGTGTTCAGCCTTTCACTGTGGATCCCTCTTACAGCTCCCCATGCAATCTCAGTTTAGACATTCTTGTATTTCTCTCCTTGTGTTTCCTGATTTTATGTCTGTACCTTGGGGCTGATATTCAGACTTTTCTTTGGAGCACCTCTTCCTTACATTTGCAGTGGATCTGCTATGTTCAAGTATTTGGGGTTTTCTTTTCTTTTTGATCAATGAGATTTAATGTGAGAGCCCAGAGTGGTGCACAGAAACAATTCATTTAGCCCATGTATTGTACAGGTAGAGGAAACGAGTTAAATTAGAGATCCCTAAACAACATGTCAGATAGCTTTTTCATTCTGTCCGCAATCTCTGGAAACTCTCTGGGTCTGATGAGAGAGAGAGAGGGAGGGAGAAAGAGGGAGAGAGAGACATAGAGGGAATGGAAGAGAGAGTGAGATGGGGAGACGGAGGGAGGGAGAGAGAGGGATGAGGGGGAGGGAGAGAGAGAGAGCTTTTCGTGTAGTGGAAAGACATAATGGGCTCTGGATCTAGAGAACGGTGGTTTGACTCCACCAATTATTAGCCTTGTGTTCTTGGGTGAGGGCTCTACTTCTCTGAGGTCAGTACATATCCATAGAGTTGTTATGAAAACAAAATGAGATAATTTATGTGATTTGTTATAAATGTGATTTGTAAACCTCATAATACTGCATAACTTTATTACTTGGTGCAGCTGCTGCTGTTACTGGGTCAAACTCCCTACTTTTCAACTCCAAACACAAGTATGAGTTTCAGTTGTTTAAACAGGTGAGCAGAAGGCAGGAAAGAGGAGAAGGGGGCTCTGAGGGTAGTGGTCAGAGGGAAGAATGGGGATATTACTGAATGCTGAAAAAGACAGGTTACAAATAAAGGTTCTAGACACAACTGATGCAAGTTGCAAATGTGTGGTGGAGAGAGATTTCAGACACAAATAGAACCTTTAGCAGTTTGTTACCTCCGGAACATGGCAGAATAAAAAGTAAGCAAACGAATAACCCAATATTGTTTTTCTTGTAAAGACCCTTTTCGTTTAATTTTAAATCTGAGAAATCTGAAAACTCTTAGGCTGTTAGACTCTTACTGTGACATAGGGCCTCAGATGCACAGAGTGTACAGTTTCAAGGTGACTGCTTCTATGTATAGAGTTGTTCATAGGTGAACTTTGAATGTTTAAAGAAAGTGGTTTGCTTCAGGAATCCAAGGACATATATTTGTGAGGCCCCCTAGAGCTTAAAATTTCTAAAAAAAAAAAAAAAATGTGTATATATATATTTATCTATGTATGTATATATATATATATATCTATATATATATATGTATGTGTATATATATATATATATGTCAACTTGAAAGTGTCTGGAAATAGACATAAAATGCTTACTAAGACAAATTAATCCTTGCTTCTGAATCTTTTGCAAGGACAACTTCAAATGAAAAAAAAAAATTCATGGTTTAGATAAATAAGTTTTTGTACCCAAATTTTGATACACAAATAATAGATGTATAATTAACTCTGTATAAATTGACTAACTGGGTAATGCAAAATCTCAGTGATAGAGGATTAAGAATGTCCTGAGAATATCACATTGCAAATAAATTAGAAATTGGAAAAATATAAAGATGAAAATTAGACTTAAATGACAAGTTTTTGAATAGTAAATAATTTATGCAAAATATGTTACAAAATCTGAGATGCTAAACAGTTGATACAAGTACTTCATCTGACATTTAGTTTCATTTAAATTAGTAATAGAGTTTGCTTCTTCAAACATTTTGCATATTTTTCTGTTTCTGACTTTGTATATTTGCAACAAAAATTTGCTCTACCTTAAGTTTATTCTTCTTGCAGCTGCTCTTAAATTTGCTAGGATAAACATCCATAAAATCAGACTTTCATAGATACAATTTTTTGGAAGAAATAAAAAAAGTTAAAAGTTTAACAATCCTTTTGCCAGTTTTTTCTCCATTGTTTTGCTTGTTTTTCACCCCGGTTAGATTGACATATTGTCAATCTACTTTTGATACCACAAATATAAAATGACTTCACATAAAAGTGCGCTTTGCTTGGTGCAACAATAATTAAAACTTGCAGTTTTATGTTAAAAAAACCCCCATAAAGAATGGTGTGATTACCACAGATGAAATAGCAATATTTTCCAATGATCTGTGTCAAGCAAGCAACATAAATTGATTATTTCAGCCTCTGAAAAGTCAGGTTTTCTCAATTTGATTTCAATTAACTTTATAATACAATTGCATAATCAGTATATGGTCAGTATTGGTGTCGAATTACTCTGAGTTATTTTTCAGGTATATTGGAGGCGAATCCCATGATGAATGGCAATATAAACCATTAGAAAATCTTAAGGACGTATACAATCTACTTTGAGTGACAAAGTTCTTTACCATGGCTCATATCTATGTAGAATGAGCGCGGATGTTTAAAATTCTCCTCGAGCAGAGAATAGATGTAGCGCACATATATTTCCTTTGAGATGTTCCCCACAAAATATAGCCTCACAGTTCTAAATGAGAAGTCCTAAAAGTCAGGTACATTTTGCACTGACTGATGGTTATTTTTAGGTAAACCACTTTGGGTTAATTAGGAGAAAATTGCTACTGTACAGTTATTATGCTCTATCATCCCACCTTGGCCTGAAAATAATGAGATGTAACAAAAGTTTTTCTTTGTCACTGGCAGCTGTACCTAGTTCAGTGTATCAAAGTCTGTTGCTGTGGTTACGGCCTTTGTTTCTAGTGATGTTTTGTCCATACCCCCTCCCCTCCTTAACAATGCGCTACTCAAAGAATGAAATAATGAGTCATTCATTCGGAAATATGTTGTTAAAATATCCCTCTTTATCATTACATTTCACTGCTTAGAAACTAGGCTGTAATTCAAGGCAACAGTTAAGTCCGAGAAGAACTGTTAAAAAAATCTTTGATTTTTTTTTTCATCTGTAAGAAAAACCTGTCTATGTAATTGAAGAACCTCTTACAAGTCTGAACAATTAAACCCTTTTTGGTTAATGTATTATTTCTGGAACAAGTAGATAAAATTCTACGCAGTAAGCATGATAAAAATCGTGCATGTTTGGTACAGCACAGAATTTTAGAGTAAAGTTTTCTGGGCACAAAAGCAGTAACAAAACAGTCCCTACAAAACTGAGTAACTCTGAATAACACAAGAAATAATTTCTGTTAATTTAAAATTTTAGAAACTGAAATGTGTAAAGTTTGTAAAGTAAAATGTAATTAAATTATGGTACTGTACATACCAATTTGTTTCTATAATTGAAACTTTACAATATGAAAAATACATTAGCTCTGTACAGTTTTTACAGGTAGGTAGGATGAGTTTTGAAAAAAGATTCTTTTCAGGGCCATACTCAAAAAAATACTGCACAACTTAGCGAATTTACAAAGTGTAGACTTGAAACAATTCATGTCTTCTTTATTTCGTGAATCAATCTTGGATTTTTGTTTATTTGAACAGGGGATTTGTTTTGTTTTTGTTTTTAGAGTCCACAATGAACAAATGTTCCTCATTTTGTCCCGGAGGTTACGAAGTTTGGTGGCAGCCCTTGGCTACCAGTTAGCTCATTTAAGCCAGCTGCTGTTTATGGTCACCGATTCGGCCGGCTGTTGTGATTGTGCTCAGGTCCAGCTCAGTCTCTAGCTGTGTTTCCATCGTATCTTCCTGTGCGTTCGTTTCAAAGGACTTATGAGAGAGAAGTTCATGATGCACCCCGCAGTAACTTATTGTGGGCTGGTCGTATGCCAGAAAGGTTGACACATTCATTGATAAAGGTATCTGGGGAAAAATGACATGAAAAAAGTCAGTTTCATTGACAAGACAGACAACTTTAGGGCAAGATTCAGATGGAGGCTGGGAGGTACTGACCTAAATTCCATGGTACTAGGTAACATCTGTGGCTCAAGTGTCCCCACACTCTCCCGCCAATGTCCCTCATTCTCATACTAGTGAGCACAATGCAACAGCTTGAACACGTTGGAAGAAAAGCTGCTCAATTGTTAACTACATCCTCAGATAAATAGCCTAAGTGGTTCTGAAAATGATAAAAGCTTTATTAAGAGTCAAAAAATGTTTTTCGAGCTGTAGGGTAAAATTGTGTTTTGAGAACTAAGAAACCTATTACTTGGTTATGTATGTTTTTCAGACACACAATAATGGTTCTCAAACTTTTAATACCTCTCTTGTCTCCACCTTCCTCCTCTGCCAGAGTTTCTGATTCAGGAGGTCTTGGGTGGGACATGGAATTTATACTTCTAAGAGATTTCCTTGTGATGCCAGTGCTGGTGGTTTGCAGAGTAAGTACACGTAGAAAACCAGTGTAGGAGAGAATTGTCTTGCCAAGCCAGTCTGCCCTCCTTACTCAATATCATCTTATGGTTTATTTCACTTAGAGGATTCTTTGGAACACTGATGTCTGTAGTCTGGGCCATATTTCTAAAATTTAGGGCTTGGAGAGCTCTTAAGAGAAAAGTATGGGTTCTGTAAAGGCCTAAAGAGCATCAAAGGATGATGCTGTTTTGAAGAAACCAGTGATACATGTGAGGAAGGGACTCCCTGCTAATTGTAGCTTAATGAAAGAAAGCAAGATTCAAAGGCATGAGGACAAAGGGAAGGGTGACCGTTGTGAGAAGGGAAACATCCATGTTACAAACAAAGGGTAGTCTGAAATGTATCAGATGTCAAAGTCTAGAGATTATTCCCATTTGTTTCCATAAGTTAAAAACTTGGTTTTTCAGATCTGCCTATGTTTTAGCACATCAGTTCTGATCTTTATTTAATATCCTACTTACTAATTCGTATTGTTTTGAGTTCCCTTGGATAGAAGCTTCTGCCGTTCTTGTTTGGAGAATGGATAAAGTACATTTCTGTTTGAACACATCAGACAAAATCCCCTTCCGGTCTAGGCTGGGATTACAGCCCATAGCTAAGAAAAATAGAATGTCTAGGTTTTATTCTTTCATTAACTCCTTCTTTACTTTCTTTGTCCTCCTCTCCTTGCATACGAGCCCTCCTCGCCTCTTCTTTTTCCATCCCTACCCCTCCACCCACCGTTATTTCACCTGTGGTAAAAATTGGTTGAGCAAATGTTTCCTTGTTTTGTTTTAAATAAAAGTTCTACTTCTTTTGAGATTATCTGTGTATAATGTAGACATTTCAGTGTACCAAATATGTAGCCCTTAGTCCTCAGGAGGCAGAAATATAATCCAGTTCATCAAATTAAATTCCTGAACAAAGCTTCCCTTTTATGTGGATTATTATTTATGTGCAGCATGAAGTTATCTGATGTGTGAATAAAAGACATTATGCACTTTTGAAAGATGGTCAGGGCAATTGCAAGTTCATAAAGAAAATAGCTTAACAGTAAAATAGGATGCTTCCAAAATTGATCCTTTATTAAATAAGAATTCCTATTGTTATAGATGAAATAGCTTGGATAACTAAAATATACTATTATGCAAACGTAATTGTGCAGCATGAATAGATTTGAATTACAGGATAGAACAAAAATAGAACGGTTATTGGGTACATGAGTTTTACATTAGCCTCTGGGAAATCAATGCTCTGTAATGTGTTATGGGTCATATATCTGTAGGATTTTATATACTTGTTCTTATTTATCATGGAAACTTATGCCTCATATGTGCTAAATCATTCTGATTTACTGGGAATTAACTCTACTGTGAATAATTTGTAGTTTTTGTCTGTGGTCATGATTTATGAAAAATGATGCATCATGATTCGTTTATTCTGTGTGTGTGTGTGTTTGTGTGTTCACAATTTCCGGCTTGATTTAATATCTAAAGGTCATTGGTACCTAAAGTATAAGCTCTAATTTGACTCATATCAGTTAAATAGTCAGCTTTGATTATCTATTTGAAAACCCCACATATTTTCTTTACAGAGTTTCTTATTGTTGGATATGCCTTATTTTAAAACATCTACTCCCATGATTGTACTTCTTGAATGTCAAGACATTCTTTTTTCACATTTTAATGTTTCTGAAATTGTTATGGCACTTATAACCAATTTGGGTATTTAACATGTGTTTGTTTCCCCAAAATTGATAGTGCATTTTAAAGGTGATGACATCTAAGTATCTAGAAAATAACATAGTAAGAAGTATCAGAAGTAGAATTTAGCAGCTAACCATATCTGAATACATCATCGAAAGAGATTTTTCACAGGTTGAATTAAATGAATTTGAAAACCTAAGATAATTAGCATTGGATATATACACATGTATATTTATAGGTATACATATATATATCCACATGCACATATACACATATGCGGTATTTAAATATATACATATACACACATACATGTAGAATCTTAGAGTCAATTATCATTTTCAAAATCATTTTACTCAGGCATGCAAAGTACAAATTAAAGGGGACACATTAGTTTTGGACCACTATTACGTATTTGTTATCTCTATAAGATATGTATGTAAATGTAATATATATACCTATATATGTATCTGTAATATGATATATGTACAACACATGTATCTATGTTCACTATGTATGGGTTTTTACATACATTTTTCACATTGAGTTCAGGTAAGACTTTGCTGAACTATGAAAATTTCACACTGGCAGTTTTTTCGAATAGCAAGTAAGATGATACTTTCTTTTTTACATTAAGAATTGTGTTAAATTTATTCGTTTCCTTTTCATTTTTAAATTTCTAAATATTGTACACAGATATAGTGAAAACCATGTTTATTCTTTAGTGACTATTGAAATGAGCAAAAATTTATTGAGCATGTACAATATATGGGCCACTATGCTTGATAATATATAGAACCTATAGACAAATCTGTCTGGAAAGAAGTACAGCCAGAGTGCTCCTCAGAAGAAAGGATAGCGAGACTTCGTCTCACGTACTTTGGACATGTTATCAGGAGGGATTAGTCCCTGGAGAAGGACATCATGCTTGGTAAAGTAGAGGGTCAGTGAAAAAGAGAAGACCCTCAATGAGGTGGATTGACACAGTGACTGCAACAATGGACTCCAGCATAGCAACGATTGTGACAATGGCGCAGGACTGGACAGTGTTTTGTTCTGTTGTACGTAAGGTCGCTATGAGTTGGAACCAATGCAATGGCATAGACTTTATAAATATTAGTGGATGGACTGAATGATTTAGGTATAAAATATGGCCAATGATTTTCTTTTGAACTCTATATTATTCTTGTCAATTGCTATAAAGAACAATTCACCAGATATTTAATTTAAATATAATTGCTATAATGTATTTTAACATATGTTGTGTAAAAACAAATTTAATTTAAAAGATCTTATTTGCTGTTATTGAAAAAACACTTTTATTAAAACAAACAAACAAACAAAAAAACAAACTATGCTCTTAGTAGGAGCCCTGGTGGTGCAGTGGTTAACACCATCAACTGCTAACCAAAAGGTCAGTAGTTCAAAATCACCAGCATCTCTGAGGGAGAAAGATGTGGCAGTCTGCTTCCTTAAGAGATTTACAGCCTCAGAAACCCGATGGGGTCGCTATGAGTCAGAACCGACTCGATGGCAGTGGGTTTGGTTCTTATGCTCTAAGTAAACACTCATTGCATTAGAATATCCATGTAGTACAGAAGTTGAAGGTAATTTTTGAGTACTGTATTTTATTTTAAATTTGATTATATGAAGTATAATCCTAAATACAATAAAAATATATTACTGATTATATATATAGATAAAGAAAAGATACTTTATTCTGGAAATTCCATAGATAGGACTATTCCTTATTATTATTGAATATTTAGTTCTCACGTGGTAAGAAGAAAAACATAATGGACGCTAAAAATAGGAAAATCTTAAAAATACTTTTTCATCACTTTTCAGATAGGGAAAAATCAGTAGGCATTGGAGCAGAAAACAAGTTGGTAGGGGCATTTATATTGAAGATAAATTTACCATCTCCCAGGTATAACCAAGGTATCTATATTTCAAAGAAACTACATGCTTACTCTTCATTACATGTTCTCTTACTCAGGATTAATGCTATTTACTATACATGTCCCTTACCAATAATTTTCTATATTTTTAAAATTTTTCACATGCAGAGTTTGGCTCTTATTTAAATGATAAAAACATAAGAGAAAGACTTAACTGCATAAAGAGAAATATGTTTTTCACTGAGTAAATAATAGGAGTCTTACAGCTGGTATTGTAAAGATGATGACTTTAGTAAACTAATTTTAAAAATTAAATATGTTGTACCTGTTTAATATAAAGTAGTGGTTAATGATGAAAGCGTAAAGTAGCTTCTTTGACTAGTTCAAAATGTC